CGCAAAGATACAAAAAAGGATAACAGACAACGTCTTATGCCAATGCCTCCCAAGTGACATCGAGAATTTATTCACGTGGAGTTGTACATGGAAAATGGAATTCAATACCAATAACTGCCAAGTAGTCAGGTTTGGTGAAAGTAAAAATCGCCCACTACTCCAATATAAATTAAAGGACGCACTATTAAACAATGCTGACAGGGAAAAGGATCTTGGGATAATCATAAATAGAAACATAAATCCGAATGACCATATAAATGAAAAGGTCCATAAAATGTTAGGACTGGTTGCCAACATGAAGAGGGCATTCGTGTATGTGGACGAATATATGGTAAAGATCACTAAGGCAATCATAAGACCAAATCTTGAGTACGGTGCAGTGGTATGGAGTCCACACTTAATAAAAAGTATTGACAAACTGGAAAGAGAGCGGCGACAAGATGGGCACCTACTCTAAGAGATCTGAGTTACGAAGATAGACTACAGAAATTAGGACTTACTACCTTGGAAGAAAGAAGGAAAAGGGGGGACATGATTATGCCATTTAACTGTATTACAGGAAGAGTGAAGATAGATAAAAATGACTCCTTGATCTTGAACCCAAGAAGTACGAGAGGACACAACAAAAAGTTGAAAGTAAAAAGAGGTAATGTGTGCCAAAACTGTGCATCAATTTAAAAAGTTATACGATAATTTAAATATAGCAGACGGGACCACCTGAGCTTGGCTCTTCTCACCGTATTGAAACTCGATAAGAACGCACGCACATACACACACACACGCCCACATAGAAAAAACACATATGCACGCATGCACTTAGACAAACACACACACACACAAGGTCTACTTCTACTTATATAGACCTTGCACACACACACACAAGGTCTATGTAAGTACTTATATAGACCTTGCACACACACACATACACACACGCACACCCACACCCACGCACACACACACACACACACACACCACACACACACACACACACACACACACACACACCACACACACACACACACACACATACACACGCACACACACACACACACCACACACACACACACACACACCACACACCACGCACACACACACACACACACACACACGGACACACCCACCCACCCACACACGCACGCGCACACGCACGCACGCACGCACACACACACACACACACACGCGGACACACCCACCCACCCACACACGCACACGCACACGCACGCACGCACGCGCGCACACACCACACACACACACACACACACACCACACACGCACACACACACACACACCCACACACACACACACACACACACACACACACACACACACACACACACGGACACCCACCCACCCACACACGCACACGCACACGCACGCGCACACGCGCACACGCACGCACACACACACACACACACACACACACACACACACACACACACACACACACACACACACACACACACACACACCACACACACACGGACACACCCACACACGCACACGCACACGCACGCGCACACGCACGCACGCACGCACGCTCGCGCGCACACACACACACACACACACACACACACGCGTGAAAATTAGAACATATTCATTGTTTTTACTCTTCATTCGTAAATCCCGCCCGGTGCTGCCACCAAGCGGCCAATGACGAAATCACCGCTGCTCATCAGCTGATTATGTTGCCGTAAAGGGGTCAGCGATTTCACAGTTTTATCCATTCAAAACGAACTAAATTACACCCGTAATGTTAAAAGATTTTAAATTTCAATTATTGATTCGGCAGAGAAATAAGCCCAAAAGTCCATTCCGTTGGTGTCGATTTGGCCCTCACAGCTGAGAATCGAGCAGTGGTGTGGTGTGCCAAGTTAGTAAATTCCCTTTTGTGAACTCAGGCCATATTATGCAATCCCTGTTTAAGTAAAGTACTCCTAAGTAGTATTTTGAGGGGGATTGCAGGTATGTGCACTTGTAAGGATGGAAATTAGAGAGATTGATACATACATATGATTACGTACATGTGTGGATGTGTGATGAACCGGTAGTGGTTATGATGTGTACCATACATTCTGGTATTATATTGGTGTTCTATATTACCTTTGGAAGAAAATAAACAGGTAAGTGCGTGTAATCGTTGGGTTTAAACAAGCCGAAAACAATCATTATAAATTCGTTCTATTGTAAAAGGACTTGGGTATTTTGAGTGGCAACCAGCAGGGGCAAATTCCAAGGTGGTGGGGTAGAAAGCTCGGGTGGGGGGGGGAGTTGAGAGTCAGAATAAATAGATGAATTACTGAATAGATAAATTAAAGAGAAATTCACAACATGGGGGGAGGGAGCTATCAGGGGAATGGGCACCCTCTGCATCTGCCCTCCCCCCCCCCTTCCTAGGTAACTCAAAAGTATGGTCACAACCTAAGTTACCTGTTTTCATTTAATATTTTCTGATGAATGGTAACTGTTAGAGGATAGTTTAGTTATAGAAAACAGATTATTT